GAAACCACTTACATGAAGTTTCCTAGAGCTGTCAGATTCATAGAGACAGAAAGTAGCTACCCCAGGGCCAAAGGGGGAGGGGAATGGGGGGTGACTGCTTCACAGAGAGTTTTGCTTTGGGAAGACAAAGTTCTGGAGGTCAACAACAAGATGAACGGACTTCATGCCACCGAGTCAGTCCACTTGAGGGCTTTCTTTGCTCTTGGCTGGCATTGTACCTGTGGCAGTTAGACCCTGGTCTGGGAGGCAGGAGACAGAAGCCTGGGGCAGGCTCCCTGTCTTGAGCACCCCTCCCATTTCTGGAATTGTTTTATTTATCCAGCTATTTAACAAACATTTATTGAGCACCCACGATGTACTGGGCTTTTTTTTTTTTTTTCTTGAAGGGCTATTACTATTTTTAAAAAGTAGCCAAGATCCTCACCTTCATGGAGCTTGTATTCTGCTTGGAAAGAGGGACAGAACCAAGTAAATAAATATTTATAGATTGTGATGACTGTTAGGCTGGCTATAAGCAGGGTGATACAATATAACATAATGGGTATGTGGAGAACATAACATAATGGGTGTATGGAGGGGAGGTCTTCCCTTTAGGAAGGGAGTCAGGGAAGGCTTGGAAGGAAGTGTGTTTATGAGAATTAAAGACTGCAAAGTATCCAGCCCTGAGGAATGTAAAGGGAATGCCCCTCAGGCAGGAATTTCAACACGTGCAAAGGCCCTGAGGCAGGGGAGAGTTGGCATGTTCTTCTAAAATCTTAGCACGAGGCCAGTGCTGCCGGGGCAAAGCAGGCTGGTCAGAACAAAGCACAGGGAGAAAGGTACAGAGCCAGATCGCACAGAGCCAATGAGAAATCTGAATTTTTATCTAAGTGGGGAAGGAAGTAGAGCATGAAATATGCCTTCGTAACACTGAGAAGGAAGACGGGCAAAGTCCTAAGCCCTCCTTATCTTATCTTTGGCTTTTCACGTCTCACACTTGAGTGCCCCTTGTTTTTCCCTGAGGAGGCAGTGAATAATGTTTAGAGTAGATTCTGCCCTGTCCCCTCGTCTGACTCCCCGCAGAGATCTCTAGGCTCCCGTGAATGGTGCTGCTGGGAACCTTCATGTACAGGTCTTTGTCTGAACATCTGTTTTCAGTTATACGAAACACCTGGAATTGGTCAATCCACAGAGACAGAAAGTAGATGAGCGGCTATAAGGCACTGGGAGGACGGGGTGGGGGGGAAACGGAGAGTAGCTGTTTGGTGCAGACAGGGTTTCCTCTGGGGGCATAAAACGTCTTGGAACAACACTGAGAATGTACTAAATGCTGCTGGGTTGTTTGTTTAAAAATGGCTAATGGTTAATTTTACATTGTATGAATTTTCCCTCCATTAAATAAGTAAATAACCTTGTAAACATGGTGAAGGCTAAACAAATATGTCTGTGGGTCTCATCTGTCCCTCTGGCCATGACCTTGAATCTTCTTCAGGCTTAAAAAAAAATAAAAAGACAAACATTACACAGAAAAATATACATGGTTAGATTCCATTTACATGAAGTTCAAACATAAGCAAAATGAAACAACATTTTCTTTAAAGAGTAGAATTATAGTTTGCAAAACTACAAGGAAAAGGGAAGGACTTATTTAAAATCCAGGTTGTGGTTGGTAATCTCGGAGCTGGAGGTGGGGATGAGCTCAGCTAAGAACATGAAAGCAGCTTCCAAGATGCGAGTTCTTTTTCTCAGCCAGGGTTCTGAGAAAGCGAGTGTTTTTTATTCTGGTTCTTTAAATAGGATGTTGGGTTCTTACACACACTTTTGCATATCTGATGCATTCCACATTTAAAAATAAATGTTTGCTGAATTTCAAAAAGACACATGGACGTAGGGTAAAACGTTAGCAACAGGGGAACGTGAGTGAAGAGTATGTGGGTCTTCTTTGCGTTATTTTGATTCTTGCAACTTCTCTGTAACTTCGAAATTATGTTCGAAAAGTTTTAAAATGTATTTAGAAAGGACAGGATTGTAGATTTCAAGAAGCTTCTATTTTCCTTCACTGCAAAAAATATAAGATGAAGAGAAGCAAGTTAAGGTTTCGGCAAATTATCCCACAGTACAATGTGGTTCCAGGCACTAGTTGTTGGTGGGTCTCTATTCCTTTCCCCCACCTCTGAGAAGTCCACACAGACCCTGGGTAGGAAAGAGGGTGCAGAGTGCAGGCCCCCTGCACTAACAGCCATTCCCAAGACCAAGGCGGACATCTCTCAGAGCCTCCCCGAGCCAGCTGGCCTCAAAGCCAAGTAGGAATAAAAGAACCAAAAGGGTATTGCTGATCCCGCTCCCTGGCTTTTATCTGAGTTTATAATTACACGTTCATTAGCGTGATTATGTGATGAATATCTGTTTCCATCACCAGACTGTCAGCTCTTCGGGGGTCCCATTTTCGCCCTCTACTGTATGCCGGCCCAAAGTGCCACTCGATAATAAGAACAGCAGGGCTGATCTGAGTCATGCCTGGGTGCCAAGGCGCTGCAGCGAGTATGACGGCACCACTCTTGGCAATGGCTCTAGAAGGTAAGCCCTGAGAGGAGCCCCCTGAAGGGAAGAAGAAGTGGAAACCCAGCGGTCCAGCAACGTGCTCGGGCTGTGGAAGGTGGAGCTAGGGTTTCCCTGGCCACTGCCCCACGCCTCCTCTACCTGTCGAAGGAGGACGGGAACGCCCCCATTCTCAGCACAATGCTGACTTCAGTACAGAAAGAAAGGAAGAGAGTGTCCTACCAGAGAGTGCCCCACTGGCTCTGAGGTGGGGGTGCGGTCTCAGTGAACCAACAGAAGGCCACCCCACATTTCCTGGACGAAAAGGAATCTCCCTAGTGAGGAGGCTGCTGGGAGCCCTGGGATGATAATTGCAATTATACCTACATAATTATTTATGTCCTATAACACGTCATGTTATAGAAATATTATGTGGCATGTTATATTATAAATATTATGATATATTTATACATTATGTATATTACGTTCCATATATGTAATATTATGAATGCTATATTTATATAACATGATAGGCTAGTAATACAACATTTATATAAAGATTACTATAATATATAATTATGTTACATTATATAGTTATATAATATATAATTATATTTATAATGTATAATCAAATATAGAAATGCTTAAGAGAATATGTTAACCTGTTAAATATAATATCCATAGTATTATTAATAACCAAGTGATAATATAATCATAGCTATATATAATACTGGTATAATATATAATATTATATATGTAATTATATTTATAATTAAATATAGCAACACTTAAGAGAATCAAACTCTGGATATTAACACATTTGTATTCATAAGCCAGCACATAGTCCCAATTTTAAAAAGTTTTTTTAAGATTTTATTTTTAGGGGCGCCTGGGTGGTTCAGTCGGTTAAGCGCCTGCCTTCAGCTCAGGTCATGATCCCCGGGTCCTGGGATGGAGCCCCACAGACTGCTTCTCCCTCTCCCTCTGCCCTCCCCCCCCCCACGCTGACTTGTGCGCACGCTCTCTCTCTCTCTCAAATAAATAAAATCTTTAAAAATATATATTTTAATTTTAAGTAATCTCTGTGCCCAGCGTGGGGCTCTTGGGCTCGTGACCCAGAGACCAAGAGTTGCATGCTCTACCCACTGAGCAGCCAGGCATCCGTACTTTAAGTATCTTTAAATGTTGAGAATTTGAGAAATGACAGATCGGCTTCGGCTATTTTGTGTAACTGAAGAATGTACTCAAGTTGTGATTTTTGGGTTGAAATACATACCTGGTCTTCACAAGGTGCAAGGCCGGCCCTTGGGCCCGAGGGACGGGAACCCTTGACCCGGGTCTTCCTTCCCCTTGGTTTCCGCAGCTGCTGTTCTAGTTCCTACCAGCATTTTGTTCATGTGATCACTGCATTCCCTGAGGAGACAGCTCTCCCGCACGCGCCTCCCCTCCCGCAGTCTCCTGGAGGACATGGAGGCTTTTCCATCATGCACCTCAGCAGTCCCCAGCCTCTCCCAGGCCCCCTGTCCCAGAGCCATGTGCTCATCTTTAGCACCCATTCCCAGGTCCTGGACTCCGTGCTAGTCTGCTGGGGCCACCCTAACAGAGCATCACAGACTGCACTGTCCCCATTCTGGAGGCGGGAAGCCCGGGGTCAGTGCGTCTCAGGGCTGTATCCTTCCAAGGACCGAGGACCACGCGGGAGAATCTGTGCCAGGCTCTCTCCTGGGCTCATAGGTGACTGGCCGCCTTCTCCCTGTCTCTTCCCTTGGGCCTGTCTGCGTCCTAATCTCCCCACCATACGAGGACACCAGTCCCTGGAATAGGGCTTAATCACGTCCGTACAGACCCTCTCTGCAGATCAGGTCTCGTGCTGAGGTCCTGGGGGTTGGGACCCCAACACAGACATTTGGGAGGGATGCAGTTCAACCCACAATGTTTGTGTCCTAAATTGCTGCATTTTCCTGTCACTCTCTGTGGGTTTCTTGACATGTGACTCCGGGGCTGCCAAGCAGCATGCCACAGGTTTCTGGAGAGCATGAGGGGGTCACTTTTCTCTACCCCGGGACGCACAATCACACCCAAACAGACTCCAAATAAAAGCTGTTAAATTTCCAAACTTTTAATCCCAAACTGACCATAGCAAGGTCAGACCCAAAGATTTCCCCGCTCCCTCCCCTGTTTCCCCAAGGTTCAAATTAGTTGGAAGAAGTCACTCCCACAAGTGAACACATCCAGATCTGGGAAATGAATCGGTCCAACTCGCTCCCAAGACCGCCTGACCTCATCCCTCCACCCCACTCCCTAGTTACCCCATCAGGTCCCCCCCAGCCTTCCCTGGGGACCCTCGTTTGCAAAAAGCCTCTCCCCATCTTACCCCCAAGCATCCCAATTCAGCCACAGAGAAGAACATATTCAAAGAGGGAAAAGATGAGGCAGGTTTGTGCACACCATGTGTGCCCCACAGTTTCTCCAGGATGGCGTGGGGGGGGGCAGATTTGGGGGCATAAAATGGGAAAAAGGAAAGGTTTAGAAGGAGTTTGCAGAAGGCACAGTGGTGGCTCTAGGCGGCCCTGTGCCCCTGCTTGGGGCAGAGTGAGCCCCAGGGCCAGGGAGGCAGGGTGAGCAGGAGAAAGCAGCCTCCCCCCAGCAGCAGAACCAGGCTGGCCCCCACACCACAGCCCAGGGACCAGGAGTATTCATAGGTCAGGGCGGGGGCCGGGGGAGGCTCAGGGCTGACTCTCTGCAGGAGGGCTTGCACGGAATACCGGAACACCTCCAGGCTGACCAGGAGCAGCAGACCTGTAGGGAGAGGACAGGCACTGTGCTCAGGCCCTGGGGGACCCAGGCCCAGGTCTGAGCATTGCCCTAACACACCCCATCTCGTGCTCGCTCAAACAGCAACCTGGGGGACCCTCAGCACCACCCCACCCCATTCACCCAACAGCTCTTTACCAAACACCTACTACACAGCACGCACAGTTTGGGAAGCTGGAGGTAAAGAAGGAACACAACACAAACTGATAAGGACAGAGCTACAGAATGGTGGCCGCCGGGGGCTGAGGGACCAGGGGAATGTGGGCTGCTGCCTCACGGCGACAGAGTTTCAGCTGGGGAAACACGCAAGTGAAAAAGGGGTGGAGACGGATGACGGGGCTGGCTGCACCACAGTGTGAGCATACTTAATGCCACAGAACTGAACACAAAAATGGTTGAAATGGTCCATTTTGTGTTATGTGCATTTTATAGGAAGAGAAAAAGCAGGGGTGCCTGGGTGGCTCAGTCGGTTAAGTGTCCGGCTTGATTTAAGCTCAGGTCATGATTTCAGGGTTGTGGATCGAGCCCCACGTTGGGCTCCACACTAGACATGGAGCGTGCTTAAGATTCTCTCTTTCGCTCTGCCCCTCCCCGCTTAAGAAAAGAAGAAAGAAAGAAAAAGAAAGAAGGAAGGAAGGAAGGAAGGAAGGAAGAAAAAGAAAGAAAGAGCGAGCAAGAAAGGAAGCAAGCAAGCAAGCAAGCAAATCCTGGAATCAAGAATAGCAAAAATCAGGGCGCCTGGGTGGCTCAGTGGGTTAAGCGGCTGCCTTCGGCTCAGGTCGTGATCCCAGGGTCCTGGGATCGAGCCCCACGTCCGGCTCCCTGCTCGGCGGAGAGCCTGCTTCTCCCTCTCCCTCTGCCTGCCACTCTGCCTGCTTGTGCTGTCTCTCTATCTGTCGAATAAATAAATAAAATCTTTAAAAAAAAAAAAGAATAGCAAAAACCAAATGAAGACTCCATTAAAAAAATATATTAAAAAAAATAAAAGGGGTGCCTGGCTGGCTCAGTTGGTAGAGCATGCAACTCTTGATCTCGGGGGCGGGGGGCAGGGGGTGTGATTTCAAGCCCCACCTTTGGGTGTAGAGCTTTGTTTGTTTCAAAAAAGCAAAACAAAATAAAAACAAACAAACAACAACAAAAAACTCCATCAAGGCTTTTGGAAAGAGTGACGATGGAATCTGAAACAGTCCAGCTCATAGAAGCACATTGTAGAACATGGTTGCCAAGGGCTGGGGGGAGGGGATATGGGGAGATGTGGGGCAAAGGGCACAGAATTCACCTATGCAAGGCAAATGAGTTGTGGGGATCTGATGTACACCTGGGTGAATATAGTTAGCAACACTATCACACGCTCGAAATCTGCTAGGAGACTAGATCCTCAGAGTTCCCACCACACACACAAAGGTAGCCGTGTGGGGTGATGGATAATGTGAACTCGGCTGACTGTGGTGATCAATTCACGGCGTGCATGTATACCAACTCATCAAGTTGTGCACCTTAAAGATCTACAATTTCCACTCATCAATCATACCCCAGTAAAGTCCATTAATCATACTCCAATAAAGATGAGGGATCATAAAATGAAAAGAAAGGCAGTCAAGTTGCGACGCAGTTTGATTAAAAACAGCAATGGCAAGAAAAGAAGAAAGAACAAGACAGACAAAGACCCTAGCCTCATGGAGCTTATATTCTACTGGGACAAGACAGGTGGTAAGCAAATAAACCAAGGCTTGCCAAACTCAGATGCCTGCAGGAGGCGACAAGAGAAAGCATAAATCAACGAGGCAGGTGAGTGTGGTGGGAAATATGACAGAGAGTAGCCAAAACTCACCTTCGGCCAACGGCAACCCTTCAGAAATGGGGACTTAAGTTGCCAGACCTTCTGATTTTTCAAGGATAGCTGGAATTTTTTAAATGATGACTATTTTTATGGAAATTTGCCCAATACCTTTAAATAGCTGCTCAGAGAAATCTTTATGCACTGTCCATCAAAGTACATTTATGGGTCATTGTTAGCTGTGGGCTGCCAGGTTGTAACTTCCAAAGTAAACACATGAGAAGACGAGATTATTTCAGAGACTGATGTGTGCTGGGAAAGGAGATAAAAACAGGGTGATGGGAAGGGGAGCGACATCCAAGGGTGGAGCAGGGACTTTAAGATGATGTCACCAGGAAAAGCCGTTTGAGTAAGACCTGGAGAATGAAAAGAAGCCAGCCATGCAAGAAACTAAGTGATGGCTAATTCAAGCAGAGGGAACGGCTGGTGCAAAGGCCCTATGGTAGAATGAATACAGTGTGTTTGGGGGAAAGAAAGAAGGTTGGCGTGGTTGGAGCAAAGAGAGTGGGGAGAGGAGAGTAGTAGGTGATGGAAGTAGAGAGGTGAGCAGGGGTCAGATCATGTAGGACCATCTGACGGTCATCCATGAGTCCAACCTCAGTCCCAGACCCTCCCTCCTCCCGGCACTGTGCTTCCCCGTGCGGTTTTTAATCAGGGGCCTGACGAACGCAGCCAGGAGTCTGTGTCCTGTGGGTCACTGGCTCCCCTCTGAGGCCCCACGCAGCTCAGCTTAGGGCACTGGAGGAGACGCTCTCCAGTCCCCTTTCTTCCTTTGCTAATTCATGCATCTTTCATTCATTCAATAGATCTTAACTGAGTTCTCGTTGTAAAATATGTAAACAAGACTAACAAAGGCCCTGTCCTCCTGGAGTCCCATCCCAGAGGGAGAATTGGACAATAATCAGGTAAATGTATTGCTGTAGGCTGAATCGTGGCCCCAAAAGTTCATGTGTTAGCATCCTGACCCTGTAGTTTCTCAGAATGTGACTATATTTGAAGATAGGGTCTTTAAAGCAATAATTAAATGTAAATGAGGCCAATAGGGCCCTAATCCAACATGGAGGGCAATATGGCTGGTGTCCTTACAAGAAGAGGTGGTCAGGACACACAGAGTGACGACCTCGTGAGGACACAAGAAGAGGCAATCTACAAGCCAAAGAGAGAGGCCTCGGAGGAAACCAGCCCTGCCTACACCTGGACCTCAGACTTCCAGCCTCTAGAACTGTGAGAAAATACATTTCTGTTCTTTAAGCCCCCCTCCCCACCCCCAATCTATGGTACTTTGTTATGGCAGCCCAAGCAAATGAATACATACATAAATATATAATTTCGGGTAGTGATCGATTCTATGGGGGGGGGGGAAAGGCAAGGTAGGGACACAGCAGGTGATGGGCCTACTCTAGACAAGGTGGTCAACGGTGGTCTCTCTGAGGAGGTAATATTTGATCAGAAACTTAAATGATATGAAGAAATGAGACATAGGATGATCTAGTGGAAGAACATTCCAGGCTGAGGGGACAGCAGTGCAGAATGCTCTGAGGAGGAAATGAACGTGGCGTATCTGAGGAACAGCGGAGAAGCCAACGTGGCCAGAATGGAGGGAGCAAGTGGTAAGAGATGAAGTCCCACGTAGCCAGGAGCCAGGCCACATAAGACCCTGGAGCCATGTTATTCTAGTGGTAGTAATTTATTGTTAATCTATTGGCTTTTGAACCAGGCAGGGAACGGTTTAAAAATATGACTAACCCCAAAGCAAAGAGGTAGGATTTGGCCATGGGCTGTAGTCTGAGGACCCCTAGCCTTGACACACTAGCTTTGTGCCAAGAATCCAACCAGATGCTCTCATGTCTCATCTCTTCCCATTAGACCTAATGAGGTACATATTATTATCATCCCCACTTTATAGAGGAGAACATTAAAGCCTAGGGAAGTGGAGCTTGGGTTTGAGCACAGCCAGATCTACTCCGTTGACTGTTCTGTTAGGGACGTCACTGTACCGCCTCAAAAATCAAGCCTGACATCCCTTGTATGACCTAGAAGGGCCCACGTGATCTGGCCCCTGCCTACTTCTTCGGCCTCCTTTCAGCTGCTCTTCCCACCCTAGTAGAGAGTAGGACTTCTTTCAGCTTTGAGATGCACCAAATTCTTTCAAGGCTGGAGACCTGTACGAATCCCTACTTACATTACACTTCTTCTGAGAAGCCTTCCCTGAGCACTGCCACTTAAGTCAACATCAGACTTCCCTATGATACATTTCCCTCTTACTCTTTTCACTTATAGCATTTATCATAGCTGAAATTATTTTTTTTGAAGATTTACTTGTCAGAGAGAGAGCACAAGCAAGGGGGAGCTGCAGGCAGAGGGAGAAGCAGGCTCCCCAGTGAGCAAGGAACCTGATGTGGGACTGGATCCCAGGACCCTGGGATCACGACCTGAGCCAAAGACAGATGCTTAGCTGGCTGAGCCACCCAGGCGCCCCCACAGCTGGAATTATTAACATGTATTAATTTATGCTAGTACTATCTGTCTGGCCAATTTCTATCTCTCTCAATAAACTATAAATCCATGAGGGCAAGAATCTTGTCTGTCTCAGATCTCTAAAACATGAACAAACACCTGACGTATGTATTTTATGGAGAGAAACCACGTAACCCAAATATGTCCCTTTATCTAAGGAGACCTTAAAAACACAACCTGCCCAGTCCCTGCTACCCAATATAACCAAAGTACTTACAGCATCAAATCCACGCCCTCACTTTCATTTGGCTGTACAATTTGCAGAAAAATTTCATGCCTGAGACTTCCATAAAACACTTTTATATCCACACCTTCATGGCACCCCCAGGAATAACCCAGGTATGAGTTCAGTAATAACAGTAGCACCAAATTCCTACCATGCTATAAATTCCACAAGAAGAGGGATCATCTTAATCTTATTCATCTTTCTATACCCAGTGGTACCTAGCCCAGCATCTAGCACTTACTAAATATAAAAAAAATACTTGTTGAATAATTGGATGGATGAACAGATGGAAAAATAGAGAGATGGAGAGAGAGAGGGAAAAAGGAAAGGAGAATGGAAAAGGGAGAAGAGAAGAGAGTGGGAGGGAATTAATGAATGGGTGGATGGATTAATGGGATGGATGTTTAACAAATGGTTACTTGGATGAGCGAGTTCAGGGATATAAGAATACCTGAGCTCAGAGACTTAAAAAAAAAAAAAAAAAAAAAAGATCTGCCCAAGATCACATGTCTTCAGAAGTTGGGATTCCAACCCAGATCTTTTGAATCCCTGTTGATTTACTGGTCCATCTTTTATATCAGTGTCCTCCTCACTCTCCACGCTCCAACCACACTGGCTTTCTTTCAAGACCTTAAATTCACTGAACTCTGTCTAGCTTGGTTACTCATGAACGCCCTCTCTAACTCTCTGCTTCAAATCAAGTGCTCTCATTGTGCACTCTGATAGAATTCTACTTTTCCTTTTCCTTTATAGCACCTAGAAGTTTGTAACTGTGGGATGATCTGTGATATTTCTGGGTCCTTAACCAGATGATAATCTCCATAAGGGAAAGCACCTTTCTGTCTTGTACACTCTGATACTACATCTACATACATGTACAAACGTGTTGTGCACAATGTGTCTGTGTGTGTACCAATGAATAAAATGAACACATGAATTAATGAAAGAAAGGAAAGAAGATGACTGAATTTTCCTCCTTATTTAGGAAGATATCTAAGGCAACAAAATAATAAGAATCGGTCCTTATTATTTTCCATTCATATGTCCATGCTCTTGAAGACTCACTGCGTCTCTCTTCTCTTGCGCCAGGCTCTACCTCACTTGTTAGTTAAGGCTACCATGTACATTTGTGCAGGATCTGGCCTGCTTTATGCTCTGATCTTCATTCTGTTCCTCAAGCTTGTTAAGTCTTTTACAGCCTCTGCACATGCTATTTCACCATCACCACCATCACCACCATCACCACCATCACCACCACCACTGCCAACATCATCACTGTCACCACCATCATTGTCCCCATCACCACCACCACAAACATCACCACCACTGTCACCACCACACTTCGGATGACTCCTATTCATCCTTCAATTACCCACTTAAAATAGCACCTTCTCTGAGTTTCTCTGACCCACCCACACTGCAATGCATACCCCTAATATGCTTTATCATAACTCTCATCACAATTATGGTTGAATTATTATATGTGTAATTACTGGTTACTGTCTAATTCTTTTTTTATATTTTATTTATTTATTTGACAGAGTGAGAGAGCACAAGCAGGGAGAGCAGCAGAGGGAGAGGGAGAAACAGGCTCCCCGGGGAGCAGGGAGCCCGATGTGGGGCTCAATCCCAGGACCCTGGGATCATGCCCTGAGCTGAAGGCAGACGCTTAACCAACTGAGCCACCCAGGCACCCCTGGTTACTGTGTAATTCTGTCAGAATCTAGGCTCTGTGAGGAGCAGATACTATCTGTCTTGTTGTTAGTCTTATATCTCAAGCCCTTAGCACAGCGCATGGAACATAGCAGGTGCTCAGTAAATACACAAAGGATAAATAAATGAAGCTTATATAATTAATGACCTTTCTATCTACCTTAGAAAACATTTGATCCAACGAAGACTACATTAACAAGATGCAGCATTTTTTTGGACCATCAACTCCAAGAATGCAACAGTCCTTAAAGACCCCAGTTCCAAATCTAAAAGAGTGTTTGGAGACCTTCCAATTCCAGCTAATAACAGGGTTTAGAACTCCCACATTTGAGCCTACTACAGCCCTTGTGCTTCCCAGAATGGAACAGTGATTAGAGATGGCCTCCAACTTCCCAGCATGCAACAGTGCTTAAAGACTCCAGGTTGAAACTGGAGATGCAGCCCCCCGCAATTCCCAACGAACAACAGGGCTCAGAATTCTCCTATGTTTAAGACTTCTATAGCCCTTGAGCTTCCTTCCATCACCAGCATACAACCCAGCATGCAACAATCCTTGGAGACCATTGGTCCAAATTTAAAATAGCGTTTGGAGACCCCTTCAATCCCTAGGCAACAACAAAGCTTGGAATTCTCCCATTTTTGAGCCCATTATAGCCCATGGGTTTCCCTCAACTCCCAGCATGCAACAGTGCTTGGACACCCTACTTCCCAGCATGCAACGGCGCCTGGAGATCCAACCTCCCAGCGTGCAACGGCACCTGGAGATCCAACCTCCCAGCGTGCAACAGCGCCTGGAGATCCAACCTCCCAGCATGCAACAGTGCTTAGAGATCCAACCTCCCAGCATGCAGTTCCCTCCGTCTCCAGGCTCCCAACCCTCACCTGAGAGGCCAAAGCAGACGGCTCCAACTCGGAGTAGGAAGTCTGCACCTTTGCTGAGCACCATGATGATACAGAGGCACCCCAAGGCCATGACTGCCAGGCCCAGCACTGCTATCACTGCAGCTGCCAGATTTACCTCTGCAAGGAGAGGAAAGGGAAGAAGCAGAGGACATGGGAAGTAGGAAGTGCGAAGAACTCCCCTGTAGGGACCCAGAACCAGGAAGATGGAAGATTCAGAACTAGACAAGAATTTTCAGGTAGATCATCCGCTCCAATATTTTGCTTACACCGTTAAAGGAACTAAGACCCACAGAGGGTCAGTGATTTGCCGGAGGCCACAGAGCAAAGAGGAGACACTGCCAGGATTAGAAGGGAATGGGAACTGCCCAGCATTACTTAGGATCCGGTCCGTGTTTGCTTACAGGTGAAGCAGCTGAGGCAGTGGGCGTCTGGGTGACAACAGAGAAGGCGGGACGTTACAGTGGAACGGTCCAAGTCTGAATTGTCCCCAGCCACTTCCTCCCTGGAAGATTGTAGTGAAGTGACCAAACCTCTCTGAGCCTCGGTTTCCTTCTCTAGAAAATCAGGATTGAAATCCCTATTTGATTGGGCTGTAGTGAGGATTAGAAATCGCTTATGTAAAGTGCCCAGTGAGTGCAGCGCCCGGGCACACAGCAGGTGTGCCGAACATGCGCGTTGTGATTATTTACTCTTCCCGAGAGGCACAGAGACTTGCGGGAGCTCACTGAGCACAAAGACAAGAGAGAAAGGAGGGAGACCAGTTTACTGTGTACCCGGGCACCCCATTGTCTGTTTTAGCTGCATCGTCTCATTAAATCCTTGCAAAGACCAGGTATGAGTCATGACACGATCACAATCCCTTTCCTGGTGGGGAGGGATACTGAGTGAAGTACAGGGGTGATGGAGGGGCTGTGGTCATAGCGGAAAGGGTAAAGTCCTAAGAGTCCCATTGTTCAGTATGGTTGCCACTAGCTATGTGTGGTCTTTTAATTTTAAATGGATTTAACTTAAAACAAAATTTAGGAGTGCCTGGGTGGCTCAGTTGGTTAAGCACCTGCCTTCTGCTCAGGTCATGATCCCGGGGTCCTGAGATCGAGTTCTGCATCAGGCTCCCTGCTCAGTGGGGAACCTGCTTCTCCCTCTCCCCTTGCTCCTCCCCCTTGCTCATGCTCTCTCTCTCTGTCAAATAAATAAATAAAATCGTAAAAAAACACACAAAAACAAAACAAAACCACTAGCCACATTCCAAGTGCTCAGCAGCCACACGGGGCCAGTGGCTACCATATTGGTCAGTAGAGACAGAGAGCATCTCCATTTCACAGAAGGTTCTATAGGAGAGCATTGCTTTAGAGTTAGGATTATTTGGGTTTGAACTCTGCCTCTGCCACTTCCCAGGAAAAGTAAATGTAAACATTCCTGGGCTTCCATTTTCTCATCTGGAAGATGAAGATAAAGCCGCTGCTCCACAGGGTCATGCAAAGGACTGGAGTTCAAATAAATGAAACACTCGGCGCTTCGGCGCCGAGTGTTTCATTTATTTAGATGCGCATCTTTAAGATGTTAAAGTACTGTTCTCGGGGCGCCTGGGTGGCTCAGTCGGTTGAGAGGCTGCCTTCGGCTCGGGTCATGATCCCAGGGTCCTGGGATCGAGCCCCATGTCCGGCTCCCTGCTCAGCGGAGAGCCTGCTTCTCCCTCTCCCTCTGCCTGCCACTCTGCCTACTTGTGCTCTCTATCTCTCTGTCAAATAAATAAATAAAATCTTTAAAAAAAAAAAAAAAAAAGTACTGTTCTCAGAAAGGGGCTGTGACTTGCCCAAAGCCACACAGCATGTGGCAAAGGCAGAGCTGGGGCAGAAGCATGAGGCACGAGGCTTGGGAGAACCGCCTGTCCCCAAAGATGGGACCTCCCCAGGGCAAAGCAGAGAAGAAGACGATGCTATCAAGAACTCCTCTGGCATGGTCAGCATAACTGCCCCCACCCCGTCTCCACCACCCCACCACGGGGTACAGTTCTCACCTTTCTTTGTAGTTCTCTGGAAGATGCGTGCATTCTCCCCCGTGGTAAAGAATTTAAAATAGGTACAGTTTGCTTCTGTGGGAGCAGGAGAGAGAAAGAGGTGGTGACATGGAAGTTGCCAGGGTAAGCGTAGGACTGGACATTTAACATCGCTCACAGCTGCCTAAAAACAGGACATCCGCATCCCTGACTTACTCAGGAGACAAATGATGTTCAGAGAAGCAAAAACCACCTGCCATCACCCAGCTATACAGGAGCTGGGATTCCAGTCTGGAGCTCTGAGATCCAACTCTGTGGCCTTTGTAAGGGTTATTGACCTCTCTGGGGCCTCTGAATCTTTCTCTATAAAATGAGATAATAGTCTTGTTCCTGGCTCCATCATATGGGTTTGCTGAGGGTCAAGTGGGATTAGAAACAATGATCGCTTTATTCAACCAAGATACAGGGAACAGAAGGCTAACAGACTCGGAAAAGATTCTCATCTCAGAGAGAATTCCTAGCTAGAACACACAAAGAACTCCTGCAGGCCCGCAAGAAAAGAGAGGGAAACCAATTGAAAAATGGGCAAAGGAGAGGAATAGTCAATTCACAGAAGAAGTCTGAATGACTCACAAGTATATGAAGAGATGCTCCACCTCACCAGGGATCACAGAAATGCAACTTAAATCAGCAGGGGAATGCCACTTTAGATCAATTAGATTGGCAAATATTAAAAGGATAATATCAAGCACTGGAAAGATAAGAGGAAACAGCTGGGAGTATAAACTAGTCTTTTTTGGAAAGCACTCTGACATACTTTATGAAGTGAAGTACATTTATACCCTATAACCCAACAATTTCATCTCTGGGTATATATCCAGACAAAAACTAGGAGCAGGAACATATATGTGGATGTTCTCTGCAACAATGTTTGTAATAACAGGGAGTCAGAATCAACCCAAGTATCCATCTCTAGGGGATCAAGTAAATGTGAGGGATGCCCTCTTGTGCAAATCTCCACAGCACAGAGTAGCCGTGAACTAGAACAACAAAGCAATATGGGGAAATCTGAGCAAGTGTTAAGAAAAAAAAAATCATAAACAGGAAAAAATCCACAGCATGATATCATTTGTGTAAATTAAAACAGGTGTAAAAGAATGCTACATATTTCCAAGTTAACAAATACATTCGTGGATGCATATCAAACACATTAAAGAGCTGAGTTAGAAAGGAACCAGGAGAATATCATGTAAAATAAAGCACAAGAAGGATCTTGGGAAGGCTGGTGACAATTGTGATATAAGCCAAAGAAGAGTCAGATTCATCCAACTTTGTGTACTTGCGGTCCAAGGAAACCTAAACTTTAAAAAGGCGGGGGGGGGGCACTTTCCAAACTGCATTTCAAAGCCAGCATTTCCCACAGAATTCACCTGGCCCCATGATCTCATTCTACAGATGGGGAAAGTGAGGTATGGGAAGGGGGAAGAGAGGTAGACAGTAAGAGGGGTACAAGAAGTAGGAGAGGGGCCGGCTGGTCTGGAGAAGGAGAAAGGAACCTTCCAAATTGAAGGAGGATTTGCAGAGACAAGAACTAAACTGTGAGTCAGGTGAGGGTGGGGGAAGGAGAGGGGCAGGAGGGGTCCCATCAGAAGCAGTGGGACGGGAGTCCTTACCCCACAGCAGCAGCAATCCTGCAGCAGCAAGAAGTAAAGGATGCTTCATGCAGCAGAGCAAAGGGTGAGGATGCTATTTGTAGCAGTCAGTGGGGGACACATGGTCTTCATCCATGAGGGAAATGTGAAGTCCCATCTAGAGAGTAAGAAGGTGTGGTACATCTTTCTGAGAGAGTGTGGGGTGTCTGGCCTTCCGTTTGGGCTACCAATGATTGAGGACATCTTGTCTCTGACTCTAGATGGCATATCCCATTCGGAAAAGAGTATGATGGGTCACACACACCCTCTCCCCGTGCAGCCCAGGGAAATATGGGATATCCTTTGATGGGTAGGGCAATGTGTGGGATGTTTCAGAGATAATGGAAGCTGTGAGCTTCTGAAGGGTCAGGACTGGGGGATGATGGAGACGGTCCTGTGAGGAGGTTGAAGTCCTTTCTGAACAATAGCGGGGCATCAAGGGATGTGAGGAATCCTGCCTTATGCAGTGAGGTTGGGGCAGGGGACATCCCCTCCAGGGCAACGAGGACCTTTGGGACATCTTTGTGGGCTAGTGAGATGCAATATAGTGTAGTTGTTAAGAACAGAGACCACCAGCGTCCAAATCCCATATGACTAGCCTGGGTGCATAGATTAAGCCACTTAACCTTCCTCACTCCTCATTTCTAGCTTCTGTAAAAGGGAGATGATAATAACTATTCGGAAGCTTGCCATGAGGATACAAGGATTAATGAATTCATGCATGTGAAGTACTTCAAACAGAGCATGGGTACCACATAAGCATCTGAGCATATTACACAAGCATATGATTACCAGGGCATCCCATTCTGCAAAAGTCTGGGAACTTCCCGCTTGAGACTCTAAGTAGCAAAAACAATGAGCCCATCTGCAGAAGTGAAGTGTTTAATCCAGACTCTGAGTGGGTGGGAAACTCACACACCAAGGAGTGCTGGGCATCCCACTTTGCTATCAAGGATTTGGGACATCCTATTTGGGATCCCATGGATGTAAGATATCATATCTAGGTAAGTGAGGAGGGAAATCCCATCTGGAGCCCAGAGGGGTAGATGATCTTCTTTGAGGGGCACTGAGGTTATGGGACATCGGTTATGGGAAAGTAGAGTGCTGCAGATCTCATGTGGATGATCAAGCCTGTGACATCCCAGATGGACTGTGAGGGTTGTCAGATGTGGAGCCAGAGCCCATTCCCGCTCCCAAGGGGTATAGGATGTCTCACTGGTATACATCAAGGGCATGGCATGTCCTGTCAGGGAGAGTGTGAGGTATGGGATAGCTCTCTGGCATCGCCAGGGGTGAAAGGCCATTCTTCGGGACAGTGAGGGCTGTGGGGCACAGGAAATGAAGAAGCATGTTTCCCTGAGGCACGAGGTCTCCGCTGGGATGTGGGGGGGGTGTTTGGCGAGAGCTCTGCTTGGCGGAATCAGTGGGGAACGGGCACAAATTCCATTTTGGGGCTGGCATCAAAATGGTCTGTCTCCCAGGGCCTGCAGGATGGGAGTGTGGCCTGTCTCCAGTGTGGGGAAAGCAAGCTGACCCCAGGCACTCAAACTCTCTCTCCAGGGGCACAGGTTGTCTCAGTAAGTGCGGGTGCTTCTGGGGAATGCAGGCTGTTTGAGGTTACCAGCTGTGTATGAAGAACAGGCTGGGTCTCAGGACACAGGCTGCATGCAGAGGTACAAGATCTCTCTAGGGAACATGGGTTCTCTCTGGGATACAGGCTGGTCTGGGAGTACAGGCTGGTCTAGGGCTACA